CACAGATGTGGTAAGATGTCTGCTTTATTAAATTGGAACTTTAAGGATCGTTTTGCCTTGGACTCTGATTTAATTCTACATGAAGAGTCCATGCTACTATTCATTTTCATTTTTATATTGTTGGAAATAATAATTAGTCTGTTTGATTTTCTCCTATTAACAGCACAAGAAGGACACCCTAATGGCTACATCCAGAAATGTAATACAAGCGATCCATTGCATCAAAGTGGCTTTACCATGGAGACTTCAGATAAAAAGGCCTGCCAGTTTTAGCCATGCCTGCTATAAAAATATATCCTCCGATTTTGCTGCCAGAGCCCTTTCTGCAAACGCAGTGGAACTTCTTGGCCATACTTATCTCTCAGATAATTACAGTAATGTTACCACGAAAATTATTTCCAAGGTGGGGAAAAACTTACACAACCAAAGGCATCATCCTTTGTGGTTGATTAAGGAACGTGTGAAAGACCACTTCTACAAGCAGTACTTGGTACGTTCCCGGAACCCACTGTTTTCCGTGTATGATGATTTGCCTCCTGTGGTCACAGTAGAACAAAACTTTGATAGACTGCTTATTCCACAAGACCATCCGAGCAGGAAGAAAGGGGATAACTACTACTTAAATCATACTCACATGCTAAGAGCTCATACATCTGCCCACCAATGGGATTTGATACATGCTGGACTTGATGCATTTTTGGTTGTGGGAGATGTTTATCGTCGTGATCAAGTTGATAGCACCCATTATCCAGTCTTCCATCAAATGGAAGGAGTACGGCTCTTTTCCAGCCATGAAGTAAGTCTGATTTTTTTTCTCTGATCATTAAGATAAGCTTGAATTAAAATATTATCTAGAAAAGCTTTCCCCAGTTTTACAATCTATTGCAGTGGTGGGTTCCGGATCCCGTTCCAGTCGGTATGATTAGAATGGGCCTGGCAGCATCCATATGGATGCACGCAGCGTGCGTGCACACACATGCAGCACGCGTATGCATCTTAGCGCCTCCACAAGCTTCCGCGACGCTTCAGCTGCTCAGCAGAGCGGAGCGCAGGCGTTGTATGCGCCATGCGCAGAAGCGCAGAAGACTTAAAAGACCGGTAAGGAGCTCAGGCGGGCTGGTGGGCCCTCTGGAGCACTCTACCGGAACTGTATCCGGTGCTCTGGGCTAGCTCCGTTACGCCCGTACCGGGGCGTACCTCCTGCAACCCACCACTGATGTATTGATTTTACCCTCTCAACTAATAACCAGTTTTGGCTATGGATTTTATATGTTTATCATACCTTCTACCACAGAATTAGAACCACCTTTATATTTTAATACTGTATGCAGGTTATAAACTTAAAATGTATGTGTAAGTTAGGAGTAGGTGACCCTTGGTGATCCTTAGATGTTTCTAAACTGCACCTCCTATAAATTTAGGCCAGGATAGCCATGATGAGAAACTACGAGTCAATAACACTTGGAAGGCTAAAAGTCTTCTACCCCAGAATTAGAACTACATTTATATTTTAATATTGTATGCAAATGCTATACGAGAAATAACTTTCTCAGCAATGTAAAACATGGAATGTATTTAGCAATAGCAATAGCAGTTAGACTTATATACCGCTTCATAGGGCTTTCAGCCGTCTCTAAGCGGTTTACAGAGTCAGCATATCGCCCCCCACAGTCTGGGTNCTTCCTTCCTTCCTTATTCTCATGTGAAATGGAAGGGGAGGCTGTATGAGGCATTTTCATAAACCATTTTCTTGACCTGGGTTCAGGCCTCATTTGTTTGACTGTTGCCTTGGCCATAGACCTTAACTTTGTACTTCAAGACTATCCACTATATTCATTACACCCAGGGGTGGGTTCTGGCAGTTGCTACTGCCGATTCATTCAAGGTTGTGCTGCGCTGTGTGTGCTTGATGTGTGCTGCTTGCGCATGCACAATGCAACAAAAATGGCCCTGTGCAGAAGGAAAAAACAAGATGGCGGCACCTATGGAGAACTGGTTCAGGGGCGTGGCAAGCCTGGGTCGCTACCAGTTCCAGCGACCCAGGCTACCAAATCACTATCAGTTCGGCCGAACTGGTCCGAACCGGTAGAAACCCACCACTGATTACACCCTTCAGGAGTCTTGTGAAGGAAAGTATTGGACAAACAGACGCATTGCATCTGATTGTGGTTTATAGGTAAAATCCCTGTGGTGTTACCATTGTTTTGCTGCAAGCCGTATCGCATGTTTTCTTATGGAATTCTCTTTCTCAGTTATTGTATAATAACCAGAAGAAGTCTAGCTGATTGGCTGGCAGAAAGGGAAGAACCTTTTAGGCAATGACTACCATTTCATTAACTTTTACTGAAATAAATCTATATGTCCTCCATCTTTGAACATTTATCTTTCATACAGTGTTTCATTTAGTGGTTTCTCATATTTGCTTTTCATTGTTTTAAGTATTGCTTTAATCTCATAATTCAAATATTTCTGTTTCTAAGTGATTTAAAAAATGTTTTGGTGGTATTTGGGGTATTATTTTCTTCTCATTAAGGTATCACTTTAATTTCATAATTAAACTATTTCATTTTAATTTTTATAGTTTTTAAGCAAAGTTTAGATGGTGTTTGTGTGAAAGATGGTGTAGAAATAATATCAGCAAATTTATGAATATACATCCAAGGATGCAATTAATAAACACTATGAGAAACTAGAGATCACTATCAGGTGGCACCAATGTCCTATTACTTGAAAGTATATAATTTGCTGATCAACCAAAGATACTTGGCTAAGTTAGTCTTTATTCCAATTCAGCTGGATTCATAGTTTATCTAAAAATAATTATGTACAAATGAAATCATATCACGGCATTCAAACTGGTGTCTTCTCTGTGTTTTTAACTTCAATTTACATCAACCATAGCATGGCCCCTGGCAAGTGATTCCTGTACAATATTCATAAATGTTTATCATGTTCAGATAGTGCTATCTCTCCAAGGAGAAGCTTCAGATTTCATATGGGAGAACAAAACCCACAATAAGATCACATCATCTTTATGTATGCGAACATTTCTATCATCTTTATTTTCTAGACACCAAAGACAGAACACAATAATTACAAATCTGGGTGACTAAGAGATTCACATTTTGTGCATTTCTTCAGTCACCTTGGAGCAGACAAGTTTATTCTTCCCCTGGTGTCTGTTTTCCAACTTCTCGAGTCTTCACTCTCAGTTTGTTCACTTGCGATTCTGCAATATCAGCCCTTTCTTCAGCTTCTTCCAGCTCATGCTGAATTTTGCGGAATTTGCTGAGATTAAGATTGGATTGCTCCTCCTGAGAATGAAAAAGGTATGGTTAAAAAATTAGTCTACTTATAAGGTATATATGTCATACAAAAAGGTAACAGACTCAATGGAGAATTGAGTCTCCATTGTGCAATTTTAGCTAAATGAAAAGTTCAGCTTGCCTTTCACAAATTGGGAACATTTAGTATAACAATTCTTTTTGAATAAACTGAATCTAGTCTGTTTAATTCTATAAAGTATTTACAAAGCTTTTAAGGTATATTCTATGCAGATGTTTTTTTTTAAATGGCATATATTATTTTGTAGGCAATTAATCTTGATTAGTATTTATTTTGCAGATTTATATAGCTGCCCATCTCAAGAAATGTGCTGAGCAACACACAAACATAAAGATTATTTAATGACATTTTCAAATATAAGTAAAACAAGAAAACATAAAAACTCAACACTGTGAGAGAACAATGGTCACTTGATGTCATAGAGCCACTTTGCTGACTCGTCATGAGATACCAAAGGGAAAAACTGGAAAAGCTGCTTTTTCAGAGCCTTCTGAAAGGCTAACAGGGATGGGGCTAACCTCATCTCAGAATACAATTACGTTCCTGAGGGCAGGGGGCATAATTGAAAGGCACGCTGTCTGGGTCCTGCCAGATGGAATTCCTTAGTAGACAAGACCCATAGTATATCTCTACTGGTTGACCTAAGCAACACCTGGAAGAGGTAGTCCTGTGATGGAATGTGCAGCTGAAGAAGAAGGGGTGGAGAATGTCAGCAATAGCACCACAGCTTCTCATGGAGGGGGCAGCACATTCCAGGCAGAGGGCCATACTGCACAGTCCTTAACTGGATTCAGAGGAAGGAAAAGGTTCAGAATAGCCAAACCTTACAATATCCCAGGGTACATCTATTAGGTTAGAAGGTTATAGCTTTAGTCTGGCAGGTTTCTATCTATTAGGTGTAAGCAAATAAAGAACTCAACTCAGTTGGATTTCACTGGGTCATATTTGGGCTTAGGCATGACAGTTCCTCAATAACCTGGTCCCGTACCAAGTACGGTTTTAAAAGTAGAACCAGCACCTTGAATTGTACCTGGAAGCAGATTGACAGCCAATATAGCTCATGGAACAGAGGTGTAATGAGCCCCATCCTAGGGGTGCACATAGCTGTCTGTCCAGCTACATTTTGCCCAGTGGAAATGTCTGGGACACTATTCAAGCACAGCCCCATGTTGAGTGCATTACAGCAATCTATTCTAGAGATGACTAGGGCATGGGTAACTGCAAGAGTAGACCCTCATGGTCCAGGAAGGGACACAACTGATATACCACACAAAGCTGTGAAAAGGGCCTCTAGGCCCCAATTGCCACCTTTTTACTTCAGCAGGAGTTGTGAGTCTACAAAGAGTCCAAGATTATGTACTGGCTCTGCCTGGGGCAGTGCCACTCTATCCAGTACCAAAGATGATAAAATCCCAGATCCAGAGGCCCAAACACCCCAAAACACTCTAATTCATTTGAAATATAATTATTGCTCCATTGCAAATGCATTACTTACAGCTTCTTCATATTGTCTCTTATATGCTTTCACTTTCATTTGCAGCTTGTCTACCAGATCCTGGAGCCTCAGAACATTCTTCCTGTCTTCCTCAGACTAAACAAAATTATGACAAGAAGTGAGTTTCTATCATTTGAATCCCTTTAAATGATTTTCCATATCTACCATGTTACCCTGAAAATAAGGCAGGGTTTTATTTTATTTTGACCCACGAAATAAGGAGTTGGCCTTATTGCTGGGGAGGTCTTATTATTTTTGAGGTGCAGATGATGGTGAGCATGGTCACCTCAAGGCTGATGCTGTGTTGCAATATTTTTGGGGAGGTCTTATTTTCGGGGAAACAGAGTATATCTCTATATCTCTTTATACCTTTATCTGTCTATCTGTCTGGTGTCATGTTTAAGGTACCCAGTTAGAAACTGGGAAACCAGAACCTCTAGTGCTGCTTTAGTTATGAAGCCAGCCAGGTGACCTTGGGCCAAACAACATTACCAATCAGGTAACATCAATATGATGGAAAAGGAGTTACTATTTAGTGTCTTTACGAATCTCAACATATGGCTACAATTGAGCCCAAAATTTTTGTTGTTAAGACATTTCTTAAGTGAATTTTGCAACCTTTCCTATCACAGTTAAGTGAATCATTACAATTGCTAAGTTAACAGTTGTTAAATGATTCTGACTTTCCCATTAACGTTTTTTGCCAGAAGATGGTCACATGACACTGCAACAATCATAAATATGAGTTAGTTGCCAAGAGTCTGAAATTTCATCACATGTAACAGTCACAATTGCCATGGTCATAAGTGAAAAACAGTCATGTCACTTTTTTCAGTGCCGTTGTAGCTTCGAACAGTCACTAAATGAACTGTTGTAAGTCAAGAACTAGCAATATTATATTGTAAATGGGGATAGAAAGAGGTAAAGGGGTGGATTAAGTTTTATATATGTCAAAATATTCAGGGATTTCAAAATTTTCAGCTAAAATTATGTTCAGGTTTTGGAAAGATAAGATCACCAATAAACATATGCAAATATAACTCATGAAAAAAAAGCCAGTTCTCTTTTCTCTTTGGTTGATAAATAATTATTAATTAATTATTAATAATTATTGATTGATAAAAGTGGTTTGGTTGGTTGATAAATAACTTCACTCCATGCTTATCACACTTACCTGGTAAGATAGTTCTTTCACTCGTCTCTCATATTTGCGTACACCCTTAATTGCCTCAACACCACGCTTCTGCTCATTCTCAACTTCAGCTTCAAGTTCACGTACCTAAGGGAATCAGGTTGAAAATTAGTCATCATCTATGTCCTATTACATATAACCTTACATACAAGTGTCTATCAACATATACAGAGATAGATACATACTCTTTGCTCTAATTTCTGAAGCTGCTTCTTGCCTCCCCTCATTGCCAGTTGTTCTGCCTCATCAAGACGGTGCTGTAGATCTTTTACAGTCTGTTCTAGATTCTTCTTCATTCTCTCTAGATGGGCACTGGTGTCTTGTTCTTTCTTAAGTTCTTCTGCCATCATGGCTGCCTGTTAATGAAGATGCTATGTTCAAGTGACTACCCTGCTATAAGCATATATAGGATCAGATTTCAAAAGAAGGGCATCCATCAACTCACATCAGTAATGGATTTTTTGGCTTTCTCTTCAGCATTGCGAGCTTCCTGAATAGTGTCCTCCATTTCACCCTGGATTTGGGTAATATCTGTTTCCAGTTTCTTCTTGGTGTTGATCAGGCTGGTGTTCTGTTTAGGCAAAAAATACTGTTAGTTTCTAGTAAACATAAAATGATTAATTTATTTTTTAAAAAACAGGCAATAATGCTCTAAAAATAAACCTGTATATTGGAAGAATAATGCCTGCAACCTTATTTTATATCTGTTTATGTAGCCTTATTTTCATATTTCCCTCAGAGTTTCAACAAAGACAAAAGTGTCATAGCATCTAAACTAATACAAAAGAAAAAGGAAGATCAATAATATGTTTACAAATGCTTTATGTAAAGATCTGCAAATATCATTTAAGCATAGTTTTATTGTCTTCCAACAATATCAAAATAACTGAAGAATATTCAACATATTCCACTTTTTCCCTTTACACTAAAGAAATGCTTATGTAGACTTGTCATTCTCAACTACTAATTACAGGAGGATACAAATAATTAGATTCTTACTTGTGTGTGCAGGAGCTGCACACGCTCACTGGCATCCAGAAGCTCCTGTTCAGCCACTTTTCTGGCCCTCTCTGTCTGTTCAAGAGCTGCCCGGAGCTCCTCAATCTCGGCCTGCATTAAGTTTGCTCTGCGCTCAACCATGGATACTTGTTCCTTCAAATCTTCTTGGCCTCGTAAAGAATCATCCAAATGCAGTTGTGTGTCCTGTTAAATAAATTATTTTAAGGTATAACTCTTGAAATCTTAACAATTCTAGTGATTTACTGATGCTTTCTTGAATCTGCCTAGAACCTGCCTTGAGCAATCCTTGTGTGTTCCTGAGGTTCTTTAGTGCTTCAGCACCTTGACGGTTGGCATGGCTCAGTTGGATCTCCATCTCATTCAGATCTCCCTCCATCTTTTTCTTAATTCTCAGGGCATCATTCCTGCTCCTAATCTCAGCATCCAATGTGCTCTGCATGGACTCTATCACCCTCACATGATTCCTCTTCATTTGATCAATTTCTTCATCTTTTTCTGCAATTCTTCTGTCAATGTCAGCTTTCACCTGGTTGAGCTCAAGTTGGATGCGCAGGAGTTTGCCCTCTTCATGTTCCAGAGAGGCCTTAAGGAAATCAAGTATATCAGCTGTTACTAAAGTCATCTAAATAACAGCTTTGTTCACACTTGTCAACTGGTTTTCTAAAATGTATTTTAGAGTGCTTTAAAATGCATTTTAAAAAATTGAGCTTTTGTTTTCTTTAAACATAATAACTATCAGGTTTCCGAAAAATGCCCTAATTAATTTATGAACCTCGAACCAAGATTCAAAAGAAATGTTTATGGGTTGACAATAAAACAATTACCTCAGCCTCCTCCAGGGAGGCCTGAAGTTCACATTTCTCCTGTTCAATCTGCTTCTTCACTTTCTCCAGTTCGTGAATGGCTTTTCCTCCCTCAGCAATCTGTTCCGTTAGGTCAGATATCTCCTCTATTGATTTCACACAAAATAAAGGGTTGGGGGAAATGAGTACCATTTACTAACAGTTTCAGGCTGTATGTTTGGGAAAATAATATTTCCTTGGCTCTTTCAAGCTCATCCATTTGGAACTGATAAGTTAATACTGCATGAGCAGACAACACTTCTACATATGTATATCCTAATCATGAGGAGAATGCCTATATGGGATTATCTTATTGTGCTTGTTACTTGTTGCTCCATAGAAGGTGGTAGAACCATTACATAATCAATTTTTCTCACTTTCGTATCTTTAGTGTCCTAAACAGAAGCTTATAGTAAGAAGCTTATAGACTTGCGCTGAAGCTTATAGACTTACGCTGAAGGTTCTTGTTTTCACGCCTCAGAGTTTCCAGGTGATCCAAGGATTCCTCATATGCGTTCTTCATCTTGAAGAGCTCTGTGCTCAGAGACCGAGACTCCTTCTGGGAAGCTTCCAGTTCAGATTGAGCTTCCTCATATTTCTGTTTCCAGTCTGCCAGAATCTGTAAAGGGTCAATGAATCATCAGCGCCATACAAATGTGATTAAAAAATAAAATAATAAATTTAATTGGCCCAACGTCTTGGTACAAACTGTTCCTTTTTAATCATCAGGAGCAAAATACCTTATCAAAATTCTTCTGCTTCTTATCAAGAGCTGCACAAGCTGCATTGGACCTTTCCACATCAATCATCAGGTCCTCCAATTCATTCAGCAACCTCTGCTTGGTCTTCTCCAAGGAAGCACATTTGGAATTCACAGCTTCTACATGTTCCTCAGCTTCCTGCAGACGCTGAGCAAGCTTTTTCCTGGAGCAATGAATGACTAACTATTAGCTTAGAAAATATAAAGGAAGAAAAGTTCACAATCATATGATATGCATAAAGACGACACACACTTCTCTGTTATTGGCATGGAAACTATTTCATTTTCAAGCTTTTTAAGAGTTATGTAAATCATTTCTGGATTATGCAAAGGATCTCATGAAGCACTAGTTTGTCATGCAGGACAGATTGAAAAACTGGAAAATGAGAATAGTTATTGGAGAATGGCAAACTCTAAAATAGTTTAAATAATTAAAATTATTTTTTATTTTTTATATTGTCTTCTTGTTAACATTATTTCAGTTTTAAGTATCTTATGCAGATATGCAACATTTGAATTCCCAATGATTGATAGCAAATTATGGAATATTTGAGCTGTTTTCATGAAATGTATTGTTTTAATGTGATATAAGATAATAATTGTGATTATCATTTATACTTCCATGTTTTCATTTGATGTCTCATGAATCCTCACACAAATCCCTCATCAGATTCAAATACCAAATAATATGCTGTTTAAACTTTAATTATAGGAATAAATTAAAACTAAAAACATTTCACTCTAAATGGATAATCAGCATAAAACTTGGATTTGAACTTATTAAATTTTTAAAAAGTGAAGTATATTTATATGGGCTGTTGCAATGAATTACTATTTTAATTTACAAAAGGTCATACAATTATTGCATAAAATGTTTTACAGATATTTGCTCACTCTACACAGATACACTTTTTGTCATTTAAATGCAATGTTTGAAGAAAATGGGAAAGGAGATAAACTACAAATAATTTATTTCCATAAAAAAAACATTATTCTGGATTAGTTATTTTGCAAGATTTGGAGTAGTTTACAACAATCCTGCAGTATTAGCCATTATTTTCTTGAACTGTTGCAATTTAAGATAAGAGAATATCTGCAAAACTACTGGACTTTCTTTTTGCTGCAAGCGGAGACTTCTGTGTAGAGAGAAAATAGTTTATAATAGCCCTGCAATGTAATCCACTCTCAGAGATATGGCTAAAATTACTTTCTCTTATGGTAATTATACCTCATTTGTCCTTGTAATTTATTTTTACTACAAAACTATTCCAAGTCCCACATACTTGGCCTCCTCTAACTCTTCAGTGCGCTGAATTGCATCAGTCTCATATTTGGTTCTCCATTGGGCAACCTCGCTGTTGGCTTTGGACATGGCACGCTGTAGCTCAGCTTTGGCTTCCTGCTCTTCCTCAAATTGTTCCCGAAGTAAATCACAATCGTGACGAGCTGATTGCAAGCCATGAGCCAGTGCATTTTTAGCCTAGAGAAATGAAATGTCTTAAATGCTTTCCCCAAATGCAATGGTGGCATTATTAAAGCTCCCATTTGTGTTACTTTTTCTTTCAGGTTTGCATTTTGGCCTTTAGAAGGTAAATCTTTCACTTTTTTAAAATATGGGGGTTGCACATATTACTAGCAATTCCACTTTGTAACAGAGAAAGAAAAAAAAAACACTTTTAAGCATCTTTAACCAGGAAGTTGTAAAGGATACAAATACCCGTATTTTTTGGATTATAAGACGCAGTGGCGTATAAGACGCACCAAGATTTCAAAAAGGTAAGTAAGAAAAAAAAAGTTTTTGCCTTTCTTTAGCCCCCCAGCAGCACTCTACAGGCTTCAGCAGGGCTAGAGTAAGGCAAAAAAGCCTCTGTTTTTGCGAAAAACGGCCCATTTCTCATGGGTCATTTTTTGTAAAAATAGAGGCTTTTTTGCCTTGCCCCAACCCTTCTGAAGCCTGCAGAGTGTTGCTGGGGGCTGAGGGAAGGCAAAAAAGCCTCTATTTTTACAAAAAATGACCCATTTTTCACAAAAATGGAATGCGGGGGTGGGGCTTTGGGAGGCAAAAAATGGCTGTATTCGGTGTATAAGAAGCACCAACATTTCTATGCTCTTTTAGGGGAGAAAAGATGTGTCTTATACTCCAAAAATACATATTTATCACCTATGTCTCTTTGCCTAATACATACCTTTATTTCCTCTTCAAGGTGCCTCTTCAATTCTTCAATCTGCTGGGTGAAGCCTTGTTTGCCTCTTGAGAATTGGGAAATCAGAGAGTCTTTTTCCTCCACTTGGCGAGAAAGTTCACCTGAGAAGCAGAAAATAGAAGACAGGAGATTGACATGACTGAACTACCATAATTGTTGAAGAAAGTACTAATGAATAGCAGCAACTGGAAAATTTTAAAGCTGAGATACATGGCATTTTTATATTAGTTATGTTTTAGGTTGTTTCTAATATCTTACAACACTTGTCACCTAAAATACAAATTTGGGGAGGGGACCTGTCATATTTCCCAGATAAATTCTGTGATACCTCTGATGTTAGTAAAATTTGCATGCCTTATTAAATATGGAGTTGTGAAACATAACTTGCAGCAAGAAAGAAAACCAGGATCATTTTCATATAGGAGTAACTATTTTGTAGTCTACAGTACTTAATTTAGTAAAGTCAATTTTTTTCAGCAGCAACATAAAAATATTTCCCAGCCAAGTCACAGGTGACAAACACATCTGTTGTTTTATATTTTGAATTTCATTAGCCAATGTTGTATTCCTTGTATGTTAGCATCTGCTGAGAATAATCATAATCATAAACAACTTTTTTATGGTCATAGACCAGCAGTAGACAAAATTATCACTGTTTACAATAGTGTTAAAATTAAGGTGACCAGATTTTCAGATTGGAAAAGAGGGACGCCCTTGACCGGGGGGGGGGGGGGGCTTGATTTAAAAAAATTTTATTTGTCAAAAGGTCACCCCAGGACACTGAAACCAGCATAAATATGAATCTGTTGCCAAACAAAATTTGGATCACGTGACCATGAGGATGCTGCAA